CATTATCATAGGCTTTAAACAAGTGGTTATTAGTGCCTAGATATAATGTACACTAACAGTGGTAGAAACCAGCTCCCTTTGAGAGACAACACAAGAAAGAACATAACAGAAAGTCCAACAACAGAAAATTTGTTTGAGGCCATATGAGTTTTTACTTTGCTCTCTGTGCAGACTCCCAGAGGTCACACGCCTGGACATGGGCCACAACTCGATGACCTACCTCGGGGAAGAATCCGTCTCTATGGCGAAGCTTACACACCTCTACCTGGACCACATGTCTCTTCAGGACCTGTCAGACAACGCTTTGTCCCAAGCCCCTCTCCTCTCCCACCTAGACCTCAGCCACAATCAGCTTCATTACCTAGAGCCCCTCTCAGGCCCCAAGGGGCTGGCCGCCCTCAACCTGACTGGTACCACTATGTTCTGACAGTGTTACTGACAAAAAAGTAGACCTGCAATAAAAGTATGAGAAATGTATAGTTTTTCAGATTAGCACGAATCAGAGCATGTAAAGAAGGAGGAGGATTCTAACATGTGTGATCTTTAATACATCCTGATCGTTAATTTTTCTTAAGGCAACCCGATCTACTGTAACTGCTACATGCGGCCCCTGAGGACGTGGGCGAAGCTGGGCGGTGTGAAGCTGCTGGGAGCCTGTGCTATGCCTCCCCACCTCTCAGAGGAGCCGCTGCAGGCGGGCGCCCCCCGTGCCTCTGCCGCAGCAGGGGGGAGCCGCTGAAGGATGAGTTTGAGGAGGACATTGCGAGCACAGGAAGCTTGCCGCCCACAGCCAAGCCCAAGCCAAAAATCAAGTGTCCGGTGAATTGCGACTGTGATGTGAGTGTGGTGTTTGTGTAGACAGCACTGATGACAGAAACAACGTTGCCCTTTTGTGGAGCAGACTGTGTGTGTTCACAAGTGTGTAGTAGTAGTAAACCTTCAACATGAGGCAACAGGCAGACACAGTTATGTGAGGACACCTGGCTTTGTATGCTGAGTGAGGGATAAACGTCATGTTTTCAGATTATTTAGGACTGTCAGCACTGTAGGATACTACAGAAAAGGCTTCAGTGACACCACCTCGATTGATAAAGTGTTAAATAAGTCTGTCAACTTGTTGTAAAATTGATCAGCAGGGTAGAAAGTACTAGGTACATTTACTCAAGTACAGAAGTACTATTTATTTATTTACTATTTATAGTATATGTTTTTCTTTTTTTATGCCATTTCCATAGGGAAATTTGACTTTTCACTCCAATACATTTACATGACAATTCTAATTAATACAGACTTTTCAGATTAAGATTTTACTTAATAAACATATGATTAACTTACAAAATATTTGTATTTTTGTTTTGTTTAAACCACCCAACAGTATAAATCAATTGAAATGATATCCACTGTGGCCGAGTATAACAAATAATACTGTATAATAATATAACAAATTGTAAGGGAAGTGAGACATTTTGTTTATAATATTCCATTCCTCTCAGGCTGAAACCCACCATGCCACATGTGAGGGTCGGGGCCACACCAAAGTCCCGCGAGGCTTCCCCACCAAGACGCAGCTGCTTGACCTCCGGAGCAACCACTTCCACTACCTTCCTGCCAGCAGCTTCCCAGGCACCAGCCGAGTTGTATCTCTTCACCTGGAGTTCTGCAAAATCCGTGAAATTGAAGGCGATGCCTTTCGGGGGATGAAAAACCTGTTTTATTTGTACCTTTCCAACAATGACCTCACATCCTTGGATCCTGGAGCCTTTGCTGGAGCCTCTGAACTCACCTACCTTCACCTGGAGGGGAACCGACTGGGACTGTTCCCTGTATCAGGTCAGTCACTAGTCACATCAAGTGTGGCTGTGTGTAGACAAACGTTTAAGGAATTTATATGATATACATGTATATCAGAAACACAGGAAACTAAAAGATATTTTCTGTGTCTCTAATGTAGCACTGGCAACCTTACCAAGTCTGTTTGTGTTACACCTGGAGCGAAATGCCATCTCCAAGCTGGAGCCCGTTGGTTTGCTGTCCTCAGGAGCCCCTAAACTTAGGGAACTTTACTTGACTAATAACACCATAAATAGTATTGCAAAGGGTGCTCTGGACTCTGCTTACATAGGTATACTTCACCTGGATTCAAATCAGCTGACAGAGGTACCCACCCACGCTCTGTCACAAGCTCCTAATCTGGAGGAGCTTAACCTGTCTCACAACTCAGTTCGCTGGGTGGGACCAAACGCATTCCAGCCGGTATCCCACAGTTTGAAGAGGCTTTATCTGGATCAAATGGGCATGGAGAAGGTATGAGAGACAGAACTGCATTTTCCATGCATCATATTCATTAATTTAGTACAGTATATTTTACTACTTTGAGGCCTGATCAGCTCTTTACATTGCACTGCCATGCAGATGTCCAGGGATGCTCTGGGGGGGCTGGGTCCTGGGCTGAGGGCTCTGACTGTGAGAGGAAACCAGCTGGAGGAGCTTCCTGACCTGACGCCTCTCACTGGCCTAGAGGTGGTCGACCTGCAGGAGAACCCCCTGCTGTGTGGCTGTTCTCTGCTGCCCCTTTACAAGTCAGTGCAGAGTTTCACTGGAATTAGAGTTTTGCAAATCATTTGGTGGAGAAAGGCAGCAGATGTAACCATTTTGGAAACAAATCAAGATGTTATTATCTAATTGAAAAACATGAAATGCCTATAATCTGCAGGAGGCTATGTCTTAACTTAGCCTGAGGAGGCAGGGAAGCACAGTAATCACTTCACCTATTACATGACTGACAATAACTATCTGACTGGTTGCTCTGTGTCTTCCTTTGTCTCTGTTCTTCAGGTGGATGGAGAATGTGAGCTTGGAGGTGATTGCTACCTGTGGTCACCCTCCTGAGCTCCGAGGTCACAAGGTCAGGGACATCCAGGTCTTCACCTCCTGTCCAGAAAGCAGCTCTCCTCCAGCTGAGGAGGTCGTTGTGGACACCAGAGCTCAAAAAGTGAGGAGACCCAAACCCAGGCTCTTGAAGGCAAA